TGAATGGGTCTTCGGTATGACATGGTGTGTGTGTGTGTGTACCAGATATATATATATATATATATATATATATATATATATATATATATATATATATATATATATATATATATATATATATATATATATATATATACCGTAAATCCTCTAATACAGGCCCGGGCCCATATTTGACTCAAGCTCATCAAGCTCCAGGCCTTTATTGGAAGGAGGACCAGAATTAGAGGCAGGCCTAAATTTCTATTTGAGCAAAATGAACTAATGGTTCGCTGGAGTTTTGACAATTAAAATTGCGCCCACATTTTCAAAGTTAAACACATTTCTTTTAACAACGGTACTTTCTGCTTCAGCCCTCTCCCCCCTCCCCCTGCGCAGCGGCCGCAAACTCATTGATGCGCCTGCAGCCTCTCGGAGTTCCTGCTGCTCTAAACATTAAAATAATTATTTCATTTTCTGTTCCTCACTTCTGATTACCTTCAATGGTGTCTGCTTGTTGCAACCACCAGGTACAAAAACTAACGTTTTTATTTGACTATTTTTCTGTCCTGTCTGTTTATTATCTTCCTGCATCTCCTCTCAGTCCTAAAGAAAAACTGCTACCTGGGTTCATATATATTCACCTTATGAGTTACCTTTGAACTGCAGTTCTAAAAGATCTATCGACCGCTAAAACAGCGGAGTGCTCGCCGGCCACATCAGTTAGGTGCGTCACCGAGGACAAAACAGGTGATGCGCCCTGATCCACAGCAGCGAAACGCATCAGGCACGAATAAAAGAATAAAAGACAGAAATATTAAAGGAAATGAGCCGACATGAACGATCGCGTGTTAAATTAGTTTTTGAGGTGGCGACACCTGATTTGATAATGTTACTGGGGCCGTGCTCAGGACGCAGATGTCTGGAGCGCGTCAACGATCAGAGCTTTGCATGCGCAAGCTGGTTAAGGGTAGGATGGGGGTGAGGGGAAGGTTAAATTGCAAGAGGGTAAAGGTCACAATTTGGTTAAATGTCCGTTTTACCGCGGGTGTCAGTACCGACGCTCTGGCACAGCGCGCCGGTATCTGACGCGCAGCGACTTGTCACCTGCTGTCTTTTCCGAGGACTGCATCTTGTTGGTGATTATCACGTGACAGCGACTAGTCGATGACAGGCATAAAAAGTTACTACAGAGCAGTGAAGTCGACTAGTTCATACAACCCCTATTGGACACATTATTAAACACTTTGGATTTAAACATATTGTCCATTCAGCAAAATATAATTATATGTAACTCATAAACTCAGAGTCTGTGCACTGTCAGAACACAGGAGGAGTCAGGCGTGCCAGGCTAGGACTCACCCTGAATGGCTAACTGAAGAGCGCACACGTCTCCATCAAACAGGAAGGAGACGCCGTGTCCCCACTGCTGTCCTGCAGAGGTCGGATCCCCAAATAATCAACAAGACTGGCCGTGGACAGCATCTCCTCCACGTGGAAGAGCTCGCTCCTCTCATCCGTATAGAACAGGTCTAATCTTTAGGTGTTTGAATCGCTCTTAGTCCGACCGCCTTCCTGAGACCCTGCTGCCATGGAGACCCTAACAGGGACTGATGGCCCGGACAACAGAGCCTCCAGGAACATGGAGGTCCTCAAACCCTCCCACCACGGTAAGGTGGCGATTCTGCGGGAGGGATGTTTTTTTTTGTGTTATTTTATTGTTTTTTTTGTGTATTTTATAAATTTATATGTTTTTTTTTATAAAATTTTTATTTACCATACCACACCAATGTATTTATAAAACACCACTTCAAAATAGCATGGCAGCTAACCAAAGTGCTGTACGTAAAAGAGCCAAATGCTCGAACGTATTATCAAAACACAGTGAAAGCCTGAAAATCAGGTAAAATACATAAAAACAGCACAAATAATCAAGGATAAAAATTCCTACTAAAACAATAGAATAAGAGAACAGTTAACATCGGCATGATCTTGTAGCTTCTCTTCCTCTGTTTGGCGACTTGAGCGCCACTTCCGCATTCCCGCCAGGCCGCGTTGCGGCGCGGTTTCTCCGTCCAACTTTTTTAAGGTCGGTTTATCCTCATTCCTCAGTGGTTTCTCCTCCTGTTCCCAGACCATCTGCTGCTGTGGCCCCCAGACTCTGGACCTCTCTCCCCCTGAGCCTGAGATCAGTGGACTCAGTGGTCTCCTTTAAAAAGCAGCTGAAGACTCACTTGTTCAAGCTGGCTTTTGTATGACCTTCTTCACCTCTCTCTCTTTATTCTGCTCTCCCCACCTATTCCACCTTCCTCAGGATCCACTGATTTCCCTCTTTCCTGTTCACTCTCTCTCTTTCTTAACATTTTTTAACCACAATTGTCTATTTTTGCTCATTTCAATATATTTTTAAACATTTTCTAAATGCTTTTTATATTTTAACATTTTTTGTTTTTGTGAAGCGCCTCATGATTTTTATCTTGAGAGGCGCTATAGAAATGATATTTTCTTCTTCTTCTTCTTCTTCTTTTCTTCAGTTTCAACTAAGCCAGGTCATCATCAATCCGTTATTTGGAACCTTCTTTAGTTCCTTCAAACTAGCGCAGTTAGGCCACGCTGATGTTCACTCTGGTTTTAGTTCTTTGCTTTTCCTCCACAGACAAGCTCCCCTAGGACACCTGCCCGCTCCACATAACTGTCTCGTGCTGTTTTGGACCAGTAAAGGGCTGCAGAGTGGTGTCAGACATGAAACTGTGGAGGTCAGTTCTAACACCCCCACCCTCACCACCTTATTAACTCACACTCATTTTCACCCAAATCAGACTTAAGACATAAATATTACTGCTAATAAATACATTAATGTTAATAAATGGCTTATTTCCTTTATAAATCACATATATAAACATTTAAACACTTGCTTAACTCCCCCAGAGTTACCACAGGGCCCAATTTGGCATCATCCCAACATTTTCACTGGACCCCCTATCAGATTTTCTGAGAGAACAAGGGAAATAGATGGAGAACATAGATATGCACAGAGGACAAGGAAACAAGGGTGCCCCCAAGGGGTGACCAGGGGTGACCATGGCCACCCCTAGAAAATTGCTGCCCCCCCCCCTCCCCCCCAGCGAAAGCCAGTGTTAATAAATCATATTAATGTTCGCTCAAACCACAAATTGATCTTGTTTATTCAAGACATAATTTTAAAACAAAATAAAAAATAATACAACTAACGAGTAACGAAATAACCAGAATACAAAATAAATATATATGTTTCCGCTGCTCACCATTTTAAAACAGTTTTTATCTCCATAGTTTATTTGTGAACACAGCAACAGGTGAATTAAACTAAAAAAACACAAAATTTTAAATAAAAATGAAAATAACTAAAATGTTTTATTTTTTATGTTTGTTTGTAAAATTGTTGTTGAATGTTTGGATACGTTCTGTTTTGTGCCACTCCAAAAATGTCTTTGGCCCCGTCTGGCCACCCCTATCAAAATTTTCTGGAGGTGCCCCTGCAAGGAAAGCACTGCACCTCATTATTACAGAAGCCAAAAGGAATCAAAGTGCCCCCTAGTGGTTGGCTGCAGTAAAGTATGTTTCTATACAAATGGGACACCTTCCTAACTAAAAACTAAATAGGCCCACTTTTTAATCTTCTTTTCTATGTTACTTGTTTTTTGTTTCACCCTGCCCACTCTATTGCATCCACTTAAGTAAACTACACAACAAGAGGGTTAGGGTTAAACTTGGTTTATGCTTGACGCATCCGCGAGGTTCGCACGGCTCCGCGCGGCAAAATTGCGTCATTTTAACAACCACGCCCCTCCACCGCGCCTCCGCACGGCCCAAACTTTCCGCACAGCGCACCTGGGAAATTTTCTAACCACGCGGACGGTCGGACGCGGAAAAACATGGTGGACTGGCAAGTACTAGTATGGCAGAGGTTCGTAAATACAGACATTTGTATGATTCAGCTCTCAGAGATCACCGGGATCAACATGTTGTTAATAATTCTTGGAGAGAAATAGCTCGCACTGTCGGAAAAGACGAGGACGCTGTTAAAAATGCTGGAATGCCATGTTGTAAACAGTAATTTCTACTTCTACTATGGTGTAGTGTTGGATGCATGCCGTAGAGCTCCATGCTGCCCCCTACAGTTTGGGAGAATATTGGCTCACCGCAGAGACAAGCCGCATGAACCATAAACGCTGCGAGTTGTGAAGTGCGTTCCATCCGCGAGCCGCATCACCACGCGGAAAGTGAATGCGTCAAGCATAAACCAAGCTTTAGGGTCTCACCGCTTCCTGCTGTTCAGCGAGCTCTGGACTCACCGCTCTCTCTCTCTCTCTCTCTCTCTCTCTCTCTCTCTCTCTCTCTCTCTCTCTCTCTCTCTCTCTCTCTCTCTCTCTCTCTCTCTCTCTCTCTCTCTCTCTCTCTCACTCTCTCTCTCTCTATAACTCTTTCTCTCTCTCTCTATCCATCTCTCTTTCTCTCTCTCTCTCTCTCTCTCTCTCTCTCTCTCTCTCTCTCTCTCTCTCTCTCTCTGTCTCTATCCATCTCTCTTTCTCTCTCTCTCTCTCTCTCACACACTTTCTCTCTCTCTCTATCTCTATAACTCTTTCTCTCTCTCTCTATCCATCTCTCTTTCTCTCTCTCTCTATCCATCTCTCTTTCTCTCTCTCTCTCTCTCTCTCTCTCTCACTCTCTCTCACTCTCTCTCTCTGTAACTCTTTCTCTCTCTCTCTCTATCTCTATAACTCTTTCTCTCTCTCTCTATCCATCTCTCTTTCTCTCTCTCTCTCTCTCTCTCTCTCTCTCTCTGTCTCTATCCATCTCTCTTTCTCTCTCTCTCTCTCTCACTTTATCTCTCTATCTATCTCTCTATCCATCTCTCTTTCTCTCTCTCTATCCATCTCTCTTTCTCTCTCTCTCTCTCTCTCTCTCTCTCTCTCTCTCTCTCTCTCTCTCTCTTTCTTTCTCTCTCTCTCTCTCTGAGTTTGTTCTGACGTTCTGAGCGGTAAAACACTTTTAACATTTTTGTTAACAGCTTTTGGCTTTTTGTGTTCTTGTCGTGTTTTCTTTAATGAACCCTGTTATTCACTCACCTTCTAATGGAGAACAGCTGTAACATCTGTTTCTCCCCTCTCCTGCACCCACTATAACGGATCTACCAATCTGCTGATCTGTCCAATCAGCCCATCCACCCATCCATGCAACATGCTCTAATATATCTCACTGGCATTCAGGGACGAACTAATCTGATGGAAAGATGACGCTGTGATTTCTGGCACTGCTCGGGAACGGGTCTCACATGAGCGGTGGTGCAGGTTTTATAGCTCCCCCGGCACAAAGAAGAACGTTTAAAAGGCGCGGCTCAAATGAGCTTAGCACACTTTATTACCCATCTGCAAACAGCTTAGGAGTCAAGAAGCACATCCTGGACTTGGTGATGTTCCCGGGGATGCTGGAGGATGAGGACAATTAGCCCCGAGAAACACAAACAGGTGATGCAAAGCTCAAACTAAAGGTTAAAACAATAGCTGGTGATAATAAAACCTTATATAAGGCCCCGTCCCAGCATGGAGTAGTTAAATCACATTAATGGGATTAAAGTATCAAAAGGTTTGTAATTATTCACTGCAGCTTTGCTAACGCAACACGGCTCAGGATTAGATGGGATTATTTAGTTTTGATGGCTGTATTTAAAGCAGATTAAAGTTTTAATGCATTAATCGTTTCAGGAAGCAGAAGGAAAATATTCTTTACATTATGAATTATTTCACAGCAGCTGTGTTGGACGTAAACATTAACTGTGTCAGTCCAGGTTGGCCTTTCTCTGCTGGCGGTGAAACGACATCGCTGTAAATGGAAACGGGTCGGTTTTGATGTTCCAGTCACGACCATCATAATGGAAGAAGGTATGAAAGGTTGACCACTGCACACACACTCTCACACACAGTGGGTGTGCTGCTGTCAGTCATTGCACTGCTGCCTTTTGAGTGATTAGGTGATGTAAAAATGTCTGCAGGCTTTACCGACACTGTGGCGGCCACAGCTCCAGGAGGGTTCATTCCCATCAAGCAGCAGACGTCCGGTTTCTCGGCCAAATCGGACTTGTCAGTCCAGATTCCCTGGAACAGCGACCCAAATGTGTCATCGCTCAAATGATAAGTAATCTCCTCAGCAATCCAACCCCATTCAAACTCAGAGGGTGGGCGTAAAAGCTCTCCTCTGCTCGGAGTAATAACTCGTGGAGTTCACTGTGGTGTTTCCATGTAGGGCACGCTCACCTGCAGCATGAAGGACAACGCCCCTCCGAGTCTGTGGCGATTCGTCAACGCAGACAAAACCGCATCTTCAGTCAACTCGCCCTCATACTGGAAGCCTTTCTGTCACTATTTATCTCCTCTCTCGTGTCCCACAGCGGCAAGCCAAAACACGGGATTACACAGCAACAGTTTCTGCACTGAAGCTGCCACCATAACGCTCAAATGCTATACCTCCTATCCATGGACGTAATTTTCACTTTAGAAGTGGGGGGGACGGGGGGATCTTTACATTATGCTCCAATGGGAAACCGGCTTCAACACAAATGGTTGTTGTTACACCACTCTGTGGGCTCAGCTAGGAAGGAGAGGGGAATAAACATAAGATGGACCAGTATAACAAAAAGTGACCCTCGTTGGGGAGAAAAAGGCTTGACCAAGCAAAACCAAACTCAAAGTGTCCTTGTATGTTCAAAGATTTTATTACAAAAAAAAAAGGAACCAAAAGAAGGGCAAAAAAACCCTTTTCTAGAAGTTATCCAACTAAGTTTAAATGAGTAACTGAAAATGTCCAGAGGACCAACCACTCTAAATCCTAAATAAATCTCCTTTATTTAAAAAGGGAATGGAACTCAAAAAGGGGGCAAAAACCCCACCACGTAATTAAACAAGGTTTGTCTAAAAGACAAACCAAACACTAAATTAACTCAAGTAGCCACAACACAAAATATAGCTCAGGAAACTGAGACTTCTTCCGGGGAAAAACCCCACCTGGTAATTTACCAAAGGTGGTCTAAAGGACTCACCAAAACCAAAAATTACCGCTTAACTGAAAATATCCCAAACACTCAAAATGCTCTAAAGTCACAAAGACAAGCTGGTTTACACCACAAAATTGCAGGTAACCACCAACGGTGAGAGAACACACATTGCCTCTGCAACCACAAACATTTCTCTCCCCTGATGAGCTCCAGCTGGCCACTTTTGAAGGGCCAGCTGATGAGGTGAGAAGTCCCAGCTGGCCGTGACTGCTGCTATGGCGCTGTCCATGGTGCTGGAGTAAGGAAAGCGTCCCAAGGAGTAGCTGTCCGTGGTGCTGCGCTGCTGCACAGGGAACGGCGCGCAGCACACCACTGGGCTCCAAAACGGCGGCGGCCGTAACAGTTGTTTTTCGCTTGGTCCTAGAGCTCAACCAGCGTCAATTTAATTTCCGTAATATTGTTTTTGGATGGTAAAAAGTGCAGGCATCAAAATTTGACTTTGGAAAAAGTGGGGGAGACATGCCCCCCCTGTCACCCCCAAAAAATTACGTCCATGCTCCTGTCTGTCACTGTCGTTTCTTACCAAGCTTTTCCGCTGGAAAACCCAAAGCATAGTGATAATAGTATAAACAGTAACTGTTACAGTCAACGGACGGCCTCCCGCCAAGTGTCGCGTTTGAAACGTGTCGCAGAAGGGTTGAGTCACGTCGCTCTGCTGACTTCACGACTTTCTCTCTCCGGTTCACGCCTCACTTTTTTTCAGCAGCGGCCCAAAACGATCTCCTAACATATGGATGTTCTGCTTCCTGATCACGTGACGTGTGACGTACGCGGATGAAGATCGGCTTTAGAGCTGAGATGTTTGTTCTCACGGTGCGGGGGCTCGTCCGACGCCCACACAGTAAAAACATTTAAACGACGACTTTAGTCGTCATTGGCAGTGAATGAGTTAAAATGGCCGTTACTAAAGTCCCAACACCGGACAACATGGTGGAACTCACCCACAACAACGGTCCAATGAGATTGTTATCTCAGAGAGTGCTGTAAAAAACTGAGCATCTTCTGTTCCTTGAAGGCCACATTTTACATCACACAGCTGCTCTCAACCTCAGAATGGACACAATTTAGCAGGATTTCGACAGAAATTAGCTTTTAATAATATTCATGTTACAGTGGATGCTTTTGGGAGCTGATCAGTTACATCACTCACAGCCGAAGCTGTCATGATATGCTGACGTCTGAGAGGGCGGGGCCATCGAATCTCCCACTAAATGTAACCCTAACCCTAACCAAGTGAAGATTAATCCTAACTCTTAATTTCTCCAACACAAAACTCTGTAGAAACATTAAAAAATGACCAACAAATCTGTCTGTCGCTCAGAGTTACACATTATGATAAAACTAAAAAAGGACTTCACAAAGCAGTCTCTCTTTTTCAGTCTGTGTGGTTACCATGGCAACCTTAATGACGCGTGACTTTTGTTAGACGTTTACAGTTATAGTATCAGCATTTAGATGAAATGATTATGAAGCTGAAATGGGAGTGCTAAACCGAAACACACTTCAGTCAGCATCGCGCGTGTTCTAATAACCAAGCAGTTTTTTTTAGCTTCTCATGTCTGAGCAGGGAGGACTCTCTGGCCTGGAGAGACACGTGTTTGCATCTTTCAATTAAAGCACCCTCAAGCACAGTCTGAGAAGGTTTACGGGAGGTCTGTAGGAACAGATCTCATTTTGTAGAAGAGCCTGAAGCTTTCAGCCGTTTCACACTGAAACTGACCCCACCAGTGACAGGAAGTACATCGACAGACGAGCAACCAGGCGGTAAAGGTTGTTAAAGGAGGTTTCTTTATACGAAACACCTCTTTTGATTTAGTCATTTTGAATGTACTCGTATCACTTAACAGTGGTGACCATCTGAGCATGTGCTGTGGATCAGGGCTGCACAAACTGTACAAGACATGGACCAAAACATCAACGTAAAACTCACGGGCCGCAAATTATGATTTAAAATAAATAAATAATACAAAAATGCTGTTATGGTACTTTCTTCATTCGCGTTGTTCATAAATAAGGTCCAAACTGGACACATTCGTAGAAATCGGAACATAGAAGTCCTGCTGGAGCGACAAAACCCCACAATTGTAGAAAAGCAAGAAGAGGCTGCACGAAATCATCCTGAGGGCCATCAATGGCCCCCGGGCCTCACTTTGGACACGCCTGATGTTTGGGTCAGGAGCAGTGTTGGGGAGTAAAGCTTGGTTTATGCTTGACGCATTCACTTTCCGCACGGTGATGCGGCTCGCGGATGGAACGCGCTTCACAACTCGCAGCGTTTATGGTTCATGCGGCTCGTCTCTGCGGTGAGCCAATATTCTCCCAAACTGTAGGGGGCAGCATGGAGCTCTACGGCATGCATCCTACACCACACCATAGTAGAAGTAGAAATTACTGTTTACAACATGGCATTTCAGCATTTTTAACAGCGTCCTCGTCTTTTCCGACAGTGCGAGCTATTTCTCTCCAAGAATTATTAACAACATGTTGATCACGGTGATCTCTGAGAGCTGAATCATACAAATGTCTGTATTTACCAACCTCTGCCATACTAGTTCTTGCTGGTCCGCCATGTTTTTTCACGTCCGACCATCCGCGTGGTTAGAAATTTTCCGAGGTGCGCGTTGCAGAAATTTTGAGCCGTGCAGAGACGCGGTGGAGGGGCGTGGTTGTTAAAATGACGCAAAATGACGCAACTTTTCCGCGCGGAGCCGTGCGGACCTCGCGGACGCGTCAAGCATAAACCAACCTTAAGGGAGTACTCGTACTGTATTCCATTACAGTAAACATTGTATTTAGGATACAGTTGCTGTTGTAATACCGTTGGAAAACTTGTGTCTGCTCTACTTTTCCACCCGAAAGATGAATAAATACATTTCAGGCAATATGTGTCTCCGCACTGTCCAGTATAATCTGGCCACGGTCCATTGATGGCTCTCAGTCATAAGGTGGGATCTACGGTCGTCTTTGATGACAAACAACGTGACGTTCTCACCGCTACAGATGTCAGTCAACGAGACGACCACCACTCCATCAAAGAAGACGCAAACGCATCCGTTTCCTAAATAAACCCGAGTTTCTCTTTCTGCTCTTGAGTCAAAGAAAAGCCCAAATCTGAATAGTCCAAAGTTGATGACGCCGTTTCAAGTGAGCCGTGGCCATTTTTATGTCAGTAAATCCCGCCCACCTGGCTGATACTGTGCTGTGATTGGCCCACCAAACCAATAGAGCGCTGTGATTGGACCGCTGCGAATGCCAGTCAACGGGGAAGTCCACCACTGCATTGTGAAAGAACTAACATGAAAAGCAAAATAAAAAGTTTTTCTAAATGAACACGCTGTGGGTTGGTCAGCAGCTCCTGTCGAAAAGTTTCATTTTATTACAGAAAAGTAATATTTTGACGCTGTGATAAAGTAGCAAAAATAATTGAATAGTTTTATGTTTTTCCCAGTCAGAACATAATGTTTAGCATTAAAATGCCCTCCGTTTTCCTGCAGGAGTAGCTACCAAGGCATATTGTGACATTTAATAGACGTAAATGCTGTTTTTAGGGGAAGTAATCCAAGGATTTAGAATACAGGATTATGCAAAAATAACAGAATATGTTACAAAATACATTTTAAAGCAGGTATTCAGTATTCTGTAACTAAATACATTTACTAAGTATTCAACCCAACTCTAGCAAGGAGGTTGCTGTAAATATTCATTATTATTGATTCTTTGAACTAAGTTTAAATAAATAAATAAATAAATAAATAAATAAACGAATGAATGAATGAATGAATGAATAAATAAATAAATAAATACATGATTTTAACCTGAAACTAATCAAGTTCTGATTCATTCTTAAAATCAACCAAATGCTCATGAAGCAGGAGAGGACCCAGACTGCAGATCCTGGACAGGAAGCCAGGAAACAATTGAAACTTTAAAAGGGGAGGAGGGTTGGGCATGCAGCAAACAAAACCGGGGGTAAATGTTTTAGATCACAAGAGAAAAAGAGAAACTGGGGAGTATTTAGCTGCTGGGAGGGTGATTACTGACACACAACAGCTGATGCAGAGCAGCTGGAAGTGATGACCTGAGTTGTTCAGAAGGTGAAGGGAAACAACTCAAGACCCAGAAAAATGACAAAACTTTGATTTATATCCAATAAATTTGAAGGAAAGAGAAGATAATTCATCCTAGAGGCCGAGGGAGGCGTCAGTCAAACTGAGCCAGCGCTGCAGGTCAAGCCGTCACAAGGCTTAGTTAAGCTGCACCCATCAGAGGAAATTCTGGAAGAATCCTCAGTCACTAAAATCTTAATAGGTTTAATAGAAGTGATTTAAAAAGTCGAAAATGCAGCTTTAATAACAGCTGAGAAGCCCAACATGGAGAAGTGGAACCAGACTTAGCTGGACTAAAACCAACTCAAGGTGAGAGAAAATAATTACCTTTGAGAAGTGTGTGTGTGTGTGTGTGTGTGTGTGTGTGTGTGGTGGACTAGAGTCAACATTGGAGCAGGTTGACTTTATTGCCTCCTGATTGGTTCAGACTTCCCTCATTTGGAGTTAGGGTTGTCACGGTGTGAAAATTTAACCTCACGGTTTATTGATGTACAGCGCTTTGTTTGTCCATTCTGGCCATGTGAAAGCGCTCTATAAATAAAGTTGATTTGATTTGATTTGATTGTGACCAAAATTATCACGCTGTTTGGTATTATCGCGGTATGTTTTTTAAACGTGTTACATTTT